TCAGCAGGACAGTTATTTGTACAAAGATTTCAGTATTTTGTTTGGAATGTGCATATAGAAAGCTATGTAATAACACAGAGAATTAACTTCCAGTGAAAAGAGACATCAGTCTCGCATATGGCATGAAAATACAGTCCAAGCAGACCTTCAGTTGCTATTTATCAGGACACTGAGGTGCTGAATCATAAGTAAATTGAAGTACAATTTCCTTCCAGTCACCTTTTTGAAGATGTTCATCCCCAGGTCTGTTGAGAGATCTGGAACTGCTGGTCTACGCAAGTTGGTCAGTGAAACCTTGGAAAATGCTTCTGTGCTTAGTGATTTTTCTTCCTCGTTACATTTCATTGTAAGATCCTGCGGTTGCCAGAAGAAGACAATAAGTACAAGGAGAAATAGAGGACAACCAGCTTAAAAAAGCTCTTATTTCCAAGAGCTGTCATAGAGTTGTCCCAAAAATAACTGACATCAATAGGAGCACTGTAGAGAAAAGAACCTTCAGTTTGTTATACAAACCAGTATTTGCACATTTTAAGAAAAACAAATGAACAAAGCTTAGAAAGTCCCAGAATTATTGACCTTGTCTAACATTTTTGTCACCACAGAAAAAAAAAATGACATCACATTGTGTTGCCACAGAAAGCTTCAGGGATTGCTGTCAGTGTGATCTAGTTGCACAGAAGACTCATGTTCTGTTCAACTCTGATTCTGATCCCAGGTATGACTCTGGGTAGCTGACAATCTTCTTGAGGCCTTAGTTTATATTTATGAGCAGTCACAATGGCCACCCTTTGTGAAGCATTTTATTTAAGATCTAAGAGAATACGTCCTTCATGACTTATGCCCTTAAACATGTATTTTGGAACTGAACTACAATAAGCAGCACTGTCCCTTGAAGACACTTGATTTGAAATAAAAAATTATTTACTCACTAAAGAAACATCAGACTTCTACGTCGGTAAGCATCCTTCACTTGTAACAGAGCTCCAAGATCTGTCCATCAAAGTTGTCATCATAGTTCATATTTGTGAAAGCCCCTGTATCTACAGCACAGAATGTCCCACACAGTGAAAACCTTAAGATCCATTTTTAACAGTTCAGCAGAGGGCACTCTGCTCCCCTTCTGCCCTGAGCCACATACATCACAGATGGCAACTGAAAAGAATGGCTTTGCTACAAAGGTGGCATAAGCTCAGCTCCTGGCCATCTGTTCTCATTAAAGATCTGATGCCACTTTTCATGGGATGTTTGTGCAGCTGACCTGACCAAATTCTCGCAAGATAATTTTCTTCTGTCTAAATATCAGCTTGTTTCCAATGGAGATGGTCTTTATCCTCACTCCCCCATCAGAAAGCTTGTGCTAAACAACTGAGTCACGTTACAATACCTTTTTGCTTTCATTCCAGAGGTAGCCACGTGGCACAAGAGATTAAGCATGGCACAACAGATTAAGGTACAGGAGGTGTAGATTCTGGCTAGACAGATTGTGTGTTGCAGAGCTCACAAGTATGCCATTTTATGTATATGAAGGTCCAGCAGAAGACAGTGACAGCCTTTGCAGCTGATGTCCTAAGCACCAGGTACTGTGTTTGCAGTACTGAGCACTGGGGACCACACATTCTTCAGAGATTTCTCAGACTAATCAAAGACTACCCTTGAATCCTTCCTATTAATTTTATCAACACAAGAAAGAAGGAGACACACAACAGAAGGATTCCTTTTCACAGCTATTTTCATTCATATTCAGTCAGGATATGGCATAAACCATTTTGCATATATAACTTAATACTCAGGAGAGGAGTCACACATAAAACCCCACAGACAGCAAAACAGGATTCAGCCGTAGGTGCTTTCAACAGGAAGCCAGCAAGTACTTCCTGTGGCTTGGTTCTTAGTTTTACAGCTCTCTGCCTTCTTCTGGCTGGAAAACATTGTATGACTTTATTTAAGAGTCACTACCTTTGCCCGTTAGTCACTAAACCAGTGCTTTATTAAGTGGCTTATGGTCACCAAAAAGATAAAGTGAGGATTAGCCCCAGTTAGGAAAACTGCTATGGGTAGGTATCAAACAAATGACACTAGAAAACCAAATTACAGAATCACTTCAAATACAAAGTGTGGTATATGATGTATTTCAATGAATCAAGCTAGCATTCCTGTTGAACACTGATTTACACTGTGGCTATTCAGTGCAGTAGGCCATGTGGCAGTTACGATATACAAAAGATGGATAAGAAAGCAAAATAGTTTTAGGGCTGCTCTTTCAGATTTTGTTGTTTCTGTTTTCTGTTGCCTTCCTTCTGCATGACTGTATGCCTACCAGCTCATTAGTACTTTTCTGAACTCAAAGATATCTCAAAGATATTACACTTGATGCTCTCAGCTTTATATTAGCATTACAGTCAGCAGAACAGCTGCATTGGTTTCACGCTTAATTTAAGCTTTGGCTCTTTGCCTCTGCACTGTTAGTGCAAGGCTGTAGAGGTTTGTGAGCCTCTGAAGGTTTCATTTCCTAGACCTGTTCTTACACTGAATTTACTGCATACAGATGCAATGCAGGTTTCCTTTATCACATGTTGCCAGGTCTGAAATATGTTTAGACTAAAGTAACTTTCTAGAGCAAGCTACTATTCATTTTATTCACCCTTCTTCCAGTATCACTTTTCCTGTTCAATAAGGAGTGCTGGCATGCTGCACTGAATCTTCTTCTAGGCAATACATGGAGGATGTTTTTCATGTTCTCTTGATCCTAACTCCTTTAGCCCAAGCTTATATTTGAAATGTGATTTCAGGCACACAGAAACCAACAGGAAGTGTGAGGGTTTTGCTGAGGCTTAGGGAGATGGAGGAAGTTACCCCGATAAAGTGCAGAACAATAGAAAGAATGTGGATTTACCGGAAAAATTTACTGGTCCCTGATGTGATTTGCAGGCCGCTGCTTTTTCTGTAATCACTTTCTGGCTGCCACTTCAAATCTATCCCACTGAAACATAGAGTGCTGATATTTTTTGAGAATTTATTGCTCAACTTGAAATGATGACATTGCTTTAGGAGTTTAAGAACTAGACAAAAAACCCCAGACTTTTAACAATTTCCCTGTGTCAGATGAGCTGGAGAAGTCTGAGCATACAACCCCTTGTGCTGACAGAAAAAAGTAACAACTCTTAGCCCACTGGAGGTGGCATTCTCTTCTCTGACTGGCAAAGAACCTTGAGTGACGAGACTCTGAATTTAAGAACAGCAGTTAGGGCCCTACAGCTGGCTGGGATGAAACAGAGCCTAGGTATCTTTGTGCATGACAAAGAATTCAGTCCTCAGAGTTGTAAAGAAGGGGAGCATGAGCTGAAATTTTTGCTGCATGGAAGATCGTTTTCTCCTCCATCACAGATCTTCTGCATAACAAATGTGAAACCTTTTAAAACCGGATTCCAGTTTGATGAAGTAGAGTAAAAACACACGCGACTGACACAGAAGGTACTGAAAGCAATCAAACCTAGCCCTAGAGAGAAGAATGCCCTTGACAGACTTCTCACATTAACAGCTAGAAAGTACCCAGTAGAACTGCCAAATGGATTTAACAGAAAAACGTTAGTGAAGAGCAACTGAGCAAAGGAATCATCTGGTAGAGAAACAGCCTGGAAAATCAAGAAATAGCGAAGTATGTGAAAAGACAGAAGTGCTTTCCTGTATAGAGAAGAACCAGCACAATACTAGTGCAAACAACAGCTATGGAAGACAACTGCATTCCCGCTGCCACTGTGCCAAGAACCACTGCACGCCGTGCTGCACTAGGAGCTAAACTTGTGCAAAATATCTGAGTTGCTGCGAGCATGGAAATAGTGGACCCCATCAACAGCAGTATCTTCCAATTCTCTCTGCAGGAGATGATATTAAAGAGGATTTTCTGCACATGCATAGTAATCCTATAAAATCCCCATGCAAAGGTAGATTAAGATTGTATAATAGTTCCTATCACCTGGCCTTCGTGGAGATACTTCAGGCTTCTACAGGGATGAAACTGTCAACATTTTATAGAAATGTCACTAAAATGTAATACAGATTATACAACACTGTTGCTGCTGAGCCCTTAAAACCACAAGTAACCACCAGACCTTGTAAAAATCCTAACAATGGCTATTTAAAAATAACAGTACTAATATTTGCATCGTTTATATTGACTTCTGGCTTAGCAGCATCTGGGCTGTACAGGAGAGAAGGTATTTCACTCTTCTCCCTTCTAAAATGGCAGGTCAAAAACTGCCAGAGCTCTACAGTTCTGAAAGCAAGGATTTTAAAAAAGAAACACCAGAAACTAAGAGGGTTCTGAATTTAAAAAAAAGACATTTGAGAGCAACATTAATGGAAGACAGAGCCTTGTACTTGAGGTGTGTCATAAAATTGGGCTGCAAAAATAAAATCTGTATTAAATATTGGTAGGCAGTTCCTTCAAGTTAGTAAATCAGAATTTGCTGTTAAAAGCCCACATGACAGTGCACAACCTAAAAGCAGCACGAATCAACAAGGAGATTAACTGGAACTGCAGCAGATTCCCTTTTTATCCCTGGAACTAAAGTGAGCTACCCAAAAGAAAAAAAAAAATATGCAAACTTTAACATAAAGTTCTTTACTGCACCAAGGTCAAGCATCTGGCATTGCTTTTCCAGCAAAACAGGGAGCAAGTCTTGACACCCATTAGGACAATTTGCCTACTGAGGTTTTGTTGGTAAATATAAACGTAAAAGTTAAGTTAATAAAGGTAAAAGCTGTGCAATAAGAATAACAGCAGGAGAAGTGGTAACAACATGGAGAGCTTTTGCTTACTGCCACTGTTGGCAAAGTCTATTCCAATATTTTAAGTCAAGTGCATGCCTGGGGTGTGCAGTGCTGTACTGCTCAGAATTCCCTTTCTCTCTTTTGAGGGGTTACAACAAAGCAGCTCAGTAAGTCCTGAACATTACATCATAATCATAGAATCATAGAATCATAGGGGTTGGAAGGGACCTCAAAAGATCATCTAGTCCAACCCCCCCTGCCAGAGCAGGGTCACCTAGAGTACATCACACAGGAACGCATCCACATGGGTTTTGAATGTCTCCAGGGAAGGAGACCCCACAACCTCCCTGGGCAGCCTGTCCCAGGGCTCTGCCACTCTCGGGGCCCAGAACTGGACACAATACTCCAGATGTGGCCTCACCAATGCAGAATAGAGGGGGAGGAGAACCTCTCTTGACCTACTAACCACACCCTTTCTAATGCACCCCAGGATGCCATTGGCCTTCTTGGCCACAAGGGCACATTGCTGGCTCATGGTCATCCTCCTGTCTACCAGGACCCCCAGGTCTCTTTCACCTACACTACTCTCCAGCAGTTCAGCCCCCAACCTGTACTGGGACATGGTGTTGTTCTTCCCCAAATGTAAAACTCTGCACTTCCCCTTGTTGAATTTCATCATGTTTCTCCCCGCCCAACTCTCCAACCTATCTAAGTCTCTCTGAATGGCAGCACAGCCTTCTGGTGTGTCAGCCACTCCTCCCAGCTTAGTGTCATCAGCAAACTTGCTGAGGGTACATTCTATACCCTCATCCAGGTCGTTGATGAAGATGTTGAACAACACCGGTCCCAGTACCGACCCCTGTGGGACTCCACTAGTCACACACCTCCAACCAGATTCTGCCCCATTGACTACAACTCTCTGACTCCTTCCTTTCAACCAGTTCCTAATCCACCTCACTTCCTGGTCACCAAACCCATACCTGATCAACTTTTCTACAAGGATGCTGTGGGAGACGGTGTCAAATGCTTTACTGAAATCAAGATAAACCACATCTACCGCTCTACCATCATCTATCCACCTAGTAATTTCCTCATAGAAGGCTATGAGGTTAGTCAAACATGATTTACCCTTGATAAAACCATGTTGACTGCTCTTGATGACCCCCATGTCCTTGATGTGCCTGGAGATAGTGACAAGAACAAGTTGTTCCATCACCTTTCCAGGGATGGAGGTGAGGCTGACCGGTCTATAGTTACCCGGGTCCTCCTTCTTGCCCTTCTTGTAGACTGGAGTGACATTTGCTATCCTCCAGTCCTCAGGCACCTCACCTGTTGCCCATGACTTACTGAAGATGATGGAGAGTGGCCTAGCAATGACCTCCGCCAGCTCCCTCAGCACCCTTGGGTGCATTCCATCTGGACCCATTGATTTATGGATGTCCAGATTACTCAACTGATCCCTAACCCAATCCTCATCTACCATGTCAAACTCTTCCTCTATCTTGACTTCTTCTGGGGCTATATGAATCTGGGGCTCATAGGGAGACCCTGCAGGAGTGAAGACAGAGGCAAAGAAGGCATTCAGCACCTCTGCCTTCTTTATATCCTCTGTCACCAGGGCTCCCACCTCATTCCTCAATGGGCCAATATTGCCTCTACTGCTAGTTTTGCTAGCTATGTATTTGAAAAAGCCCTTTCTATTATCCTTAACCTGACTTGCAAGGTTAAGTTCCAAGGAGGCCTTAGCTTTCCTAATTGCCTCCCTACATCCTCTGACAACAGTCCTATATTCCTCCCACGTGACCAGCCCCTCCTTCCATGATCTGTAGATTTTCCTTTTCCACTTAAGTTTGCCCAGTAGTTCCTTCTTTAACCATGCAGGTCTCCTAGCACCCTTACTAGATTTCCTAACCATTGGGACGCTCTGATCCTGTGCTTGCAAGAAGTGGTCCTTGAATGTTGACCAGCTATCTTGAGCTCCTTTATCTTCTAGCACCCTGTCCCATGGGATTTCCCTTAATAGATGATTGAGGAGACCAAAGTTTGCCCTGTGGAAGTCCAGGGTTCTGGTCCTGCTGGGTATTTTGTTCCTTCCACACAGGATCCTGAACTCCACCATCTCATGATCACTGCAGCCAAGGCTGCCATTGACCACCACTGCTTCAACAAGGCCCTCCTTGCTGGTTAGTACAAGATCCAGCAGCGCTCCTCTTCTAGTCGGCTTGTCCACCATTTGCCTTAAGAAGTTATCATCAATGCACTGGAGGAACCTCCTAGACTGTGAAAGGCTGGCTGTGTGAGTCTTCCAGCAGATATCAGGGTAGTTGAAATCTCCCATGAGGACCAGGGACTGTAGTTGTGAGGCTGCTTTCAGTTGCCTGTAGAAAGCCTCATCAACCTCCTCACCTTGATCAGGAGGTCTGTAGTAGACCCCCACAACTGTGTCACCCGCACCTGCTTGCCCCTTAATTCTTACCCACAGACTTTCAACTTGCCCCTCATCAGCCCCTGCACAAAACTCAATACATTCTAGTTGTTCTCTCACATAAAGAGCAACTCCACCACCTCGCTTCCCCGCCCTATCTCTCCTAAAAAGCACATGACCATCCATGGCCACATTCCCATCATGTGACCTGTCCCACCATGTCTCTGTTATTGCTACCAGATCATAACCCTTAGCCTGCACACAGACCTCTAACTCTTCCTGCTTATTCCCCATGCTGCGTGCATTAGCATACAGGCATTTCAGGAAGCAAACAGAGCACACTGGTGGGACTAAATCCTCCTTAGACCACCTGCCTTCGGGCCCTGGTACGTTCCTCTTGGGCTTGTCCCTAACAGACCCAGTTTTCTCCCCTTCCCCCTTCACATCTAGTTTAAAGCTCTCTCAATGAGCCCTGCTAAGTCCTGCCCCAAAAGCCTCTTCCCCCTCTGGGACAGATGCATCCCACCTGCCACCATCAGGCCAGGTGTCTCATATAGCAGCCCATGATCAAAAAAACCAAAACCCTGTCTTTGTCACCAGTCTCTTAGCCATTCGTTGACCTGTAAACTCTTCCTATTTACCTCCCCACCCATTCTTGCAGGAGGAATGGAGGCAAACACTACTTGCGCTCCAGACCCCCTAACTAGCCGTCCCAGGGCCCTGAAGTCTCTTTTCATTGCCCTTACATGTCTTGTAAAATTTCGTCACTGCCAACCTGAAAAATCAGCAGCGGGTAGTAATTGGAGGACTCTACAAGATTAGGGAGTTTCCTTTTAACATCTCTAATCCAAGCCCCAGGGAGGCAACAAAGACGGTCTGATTTCTTCTGACAACTACATTAGTATATTTTCACACTGAAGTATAATGTTATCACAGCTCATTCTAGATTAATTATCCCAAATCAATGCTCAAGCTTTCAGCAATTAGCTCTGACTCTCTGCATCAGATGGTGCCTCCAAAACCATCATTGTTCTGAGAGTCTTCTTCTGACCTTTGGGCAGTTTAACCAACACCAAAGCTGTGCCTTTCACTAGTTGTCCAGCTATCACTTCCCAGCTTCACCACAACAGTTGCTGTTTTCTTACTACAAACAACTGCTTACCTGAGTTTTGTGGGTATTCACCAGAGAGGGGGCAGCAGCCACCATGGAGCTGCTGCGAGGTCTTGGTAAAGGGGTGATCTCTGGCTCAGGTGGTTTCTCCGGCTTTTCTTGCAGCATATGCCTCAGCCTCTGCAGGTAGTACATGAGTGACCACTGTGTGCCCTCCTCGGACCAGTGTGGCTGCAGCAGGCAGCGCAGGACTGCCACATCAAAGTATGTGGCATAGCGAGACTTCTGGCATGGTGGGATCACCAAGGACACCCTGTTCCAAAAAGCAGGAGTAGAAAATGTTATTCATCATGCTCCTTAGCCTCTCTTGGATACTCAGCTCTCTGAATAAAGAACCACTCAACAATGATCTGTTTGTATGTTCAACTGTTGTTAAGAGCTCAGTCTTGAGACCAGTTTTCTCTGATAGTTGGAAACCAGTTCTGTCCAAGCATGCGTGATGTTCCACCCCAAAAGACCCAAGAGCTCTACTAAGAGGCCTAACATTTCACCACTCATCAAGAGCTGTAAGACATTCTCATTCTCCTGCCACCTGCAGAAATCCCCGGGATGGGCACATAGCCATTTCGGCTTGAGTTTTCAGGGATATTTGACGCTGGCCCTTTGGGACTAAGGCCCTGATGGAGGAAAGCATTACTGATGACACAAAGTGGATATTTAGCTTTCAGCTCCCTAGAGAACTCAAGTACATGCTTTGTTAAGTGTTTTCTTGGATAGAGCTGCTTTCTTCAACTGTGGTCTAAAGATAAGCCTCAGCACCTGTGCTAACTGATTCATTTGTTCAGCTGGAAAACAACAACCCTTGAGCATCTGCTGCTCAGATACTAGTAATATATTTAGAAATGCTTTATATTTGTACACATCAGCTCCTACTTAAGAAGGAGTAGGCAGGGCAGCTAAGTTAGTTAACCCCTTAAGCCACTTATAGTGATTCTTATACAAGTAAAAGTTACTGTGATGATGACTCTTTGCCAAGGTGGGCTAGAGAAAAGGACCCTTTCTAGCCTTCATTATGGTCTTCCTGCCTTTCAGGTGATGTAATTTCCTGACTGCTTTTAGTACAGAATTTCCTAGGTACTGTAAAACCTAGTGCACGCAACAGCTAGATGCCTGTAGGAATGAGACTCCAGAGATTTCAGAGGTATGATATCTGTTCTCAGAGACAGCCTTATTGCAAAAAAAATGCCCCAACTTTTTTGCTATTTGTTTTTTACACCACTTCTCTCCCAGCAGAGTACAACTGGCCTGATCTACCCTTTGTACAGTTCCTAACTGTTAGGAGACAAGCTGTCAGAAAAGGAGTGAAAAGGAGTTGGAGGCATGAGAATCAGATGGCAAAAGAAAGTATGAAATGTGTGGGGTGGGGCAGGAACTGGAGATCTATTTTTTTTGCCTATGGAATTATACAATTTGAAGGTTTCAGCTCAGTGTCTTAGAAACACACCTCTGTGAACGGAGTACTTCTGTGCTTTTTGGATTCTATAAAAATCAACAGTACTTCCATGAATGGCATTGTCAGGCATTTGGGAATATTTTTTTAAACAACATTTATATTATCAATTCCATGAAAAAACATGCAAAGAGCATTGGCAGAACACCCCAGTCTCAAGCTGGGTACCACCACATTGTCAACAGAGGTGTCCAAGGCCACAGTCCTGTAAAGCATTGGGAACAAGCAGCAACACTGCTCAGAGCAACCTTTAAGTGCTTAAAGTGAAGTGTCTGCCTGAAGTGCTTTGCTGGATCACTGCTCAGTGCCACAAAGCTGTGTGGTGCATCCAAGGCAGAGGTAGGACTGGCAGAGGAGAAAGAAGTGTGCAGTGAACGTTGGCACTGCTTGGGATCACATGAACCCTGCTCCATGTTTGGTGGCAAGGCTGAGTTTGCAGTAATGTGGGCATCTAGAGCTCCAACCTGCAGGAGCTGCCTTCCTGCCAGCCCCACAGCCCAGTGAAGGCACTTGGCGACTGCAGACCAGTCAGTTTTTGTCTGCATATGTCACTATATGCAATCGGTAGATTCAAAGCTTCTCTCTTAGTGCTGTATTCAAGGTAAAATGTTACATGTTTGATGACTTTAAAATCAGTTGTTATAAAAACCTTGAAAACTGAATGAGGAAGGAGAAAATAATGGCAAATGGAAATATGCTATGAAGTTTTCCCCATAAACCTGATGTAAACACTGCTTTTGTCACAGTTGAGATTGTGTCAAATAAATGCAGCCTGTAAAAAAACATAAGGATAGCTGGGATACTCAGAGTATCCCAGCAAAGGAAATAGAGCCCATCACCTCATCAGCACAAGTGAAGGATGAGGTGTTGCTCCCTGGTCACTCGGCAGGACCCAGATAAGTGTTTGAGTTGACACAGTCTTTCAGACTCCCCAGTGTTTGCGACATAGGCAAACCCAAGGCACAACACAGCCTGGAGCAAGGCATGTTCTCTTGATGAAACATTTGTCTCTAATGTTCTTCCTGCAAAGTCTGTTTCTCAGGCAGTGTGTCCAAGACACCTGCTGTGTTAAGGGCTATGGCTTTATTTGCCTCAGTGTTAAGCTGTATAATCTGTAAATGGAGAATTTCACTGAGTGGAGCAGGGATAATTAGCCAGGATGAGAGGAATGAGCCATTTCCTCAAGAATTGTCTGAGGAATCAAAAATTAAACTCTGTGCTTCATTTTGAAGGAAACCTAGTGCTCATATAATCAGCTCTTGGTTGCCTGTGACTGCAGGGAGGGTGGAAAGGCAGCCTTCCTTCCGCCCCTGCCCAAGGACAAAGGAATACTGCGGCTGTTGGTAAGTAGAGTAAACAACATTTGTTCCCCAGTTGTCTGTTGCTTGGCAACCAAAGCTCCCTGCACAGTTTTAACTGATCAATGAGTCCTGCAAATGAGGAGACATAATGATGCTCTCTTTCAAGCCTGTCTGAAGCTTCTTTCCCATAGCAACCACCAGACCCAGCTTGACAAATTGATCACCTGATGCTGTGTTCTTAAAAGGCTGCTTATTTTTTTATGGCTGTAGATGCTATGAGCAGTAGTGTTCAAACTCAGAGAGGCAGCTCTGTTCCCGACTGCAGTTGTACCGGCTTACATTAATACAAGTTAAATAAAGACCCAGAACTGACAGCAGGCTTGATACAAAATCCCAAGGGAAGCCTCCTGATGGGATCAGAACCTCAGGCAACAGCTTTGCCCTTTCCACCAGTGAAAGGGTGCAACAAACCCCTTTTTGAGAAATCAGAGCTGTTCCTAGATGGCATCCAGGAACCCACTCCATCCCACGTTTCTTCTGTTTGGATATGACATTTCCCAAAAGAGATAAGGAACAGGAGAAAAGTTTTCAAGAGGCGTTTAAGAGACAGTCCTGAATCCATACAGACCTAAAAATATAGCTAGGCTTCCCTCCCTCTCCACTCTCTGAAGATACTCACCAGCTTAATTTATTTGATGGCACTACCGAGCATCCAGCACTACTGAAAATCTGATTCTATTTTGCTCACTCAAATCTAGATTAAAATAAGTTAATTTATCAGTGTCATGCTGGAAAATCATGGCTCAAGCTCTGCAGGGCAAGCTGGGGGGATGTTTGCATGGCTGCACTTCTCTGCTAGTATGTCCCTTTGGGTCAGTAGTCAACAGCATGCTAAGCAGCACGATGTAGAGAGGGCATAAGGAAGGCAATGAAGAGAGGCCCACAAAAATCCTTTGCCAAAGGCAAAGAAAATTTGATCAGAAGGAAGCCAGAAAAGATACCAGCTGCCCAAGGCTGAATCTAGCTAAGGAGGGTTGAACCTGCAGGTTATTTGTTAGCATCTTTAATCATAAGAAAACTACATAGGCAAAGACCAAAGAAACTGTCCCAACAGACCAGCTAGAGATATCTCCAATGAAAGTGGCACTTAATATCAAGTGTCAGCACCTCGTTCATCACCATAACTGAGATTTGTTGAATTAAGAGTTTGAGATAAGCATCCAGCACACTCGGTGTGTACAGACAATAGCAGATTCAAGATAAAGGACTCTGTGTCCTCCACCACTGAGTCACACCAGCCCAACTTTCTGCTGAAAGGGCTTGTTACCTGGGATGTGCAGTACCTCTCTCCTGAGAGGTTTGGGAGGATACGCTTCCATCCAAGGAATTTCCACGATGACAAGCTGAAACAGTGGCCTTTGGAGGTACAGAACCTGGCTGGGTTGTCTCACACACCACCTGTAGTCCCTTTGGGCAGGTTTAATCAAAGAAAATAGGTATATAAACATATTTATCTCTCCTTTATTAGTCTTCTTACTGCAATTTGTGCTTAGACATGACTATTACTTATATCATAATACCATGGCAATACCATGGAGAAACTGATTGAGCCTGTGACTTCTCAGTGCTAGGCATTGTACAGGCAAAGGTTAAGACTGGGGCTTGCCAAGAAAATACATAAGATCAGGCTCCCATCCTGTAAGGTAGGATACGGCCAAGGAGATCCTGACAACCATACTCAATTCCTATTGCTTCCATTGCAAACAAAGGTGGGAGCCTTTGAAAGAACTGTACTTTCTGAAGATGGTAACTGCAAGTGCTGTTTCAATATTAATTTCCCTCCTTCCTCAGCTCCTTATTCAAGCATGTCTAACCTTAGCATAGAACTTACCTCGGTATGTCCAGTGTCCAGATTAAGGGATTCACAAGTCATGCTCTGATTGTTGGTGGGAGAACTTCTTTTAGCTGAGAAAATAAGTCAAAGGAGGACATTTTAGACACCACCCTAATATTAAAATGTACAGCTGAAAGGATAAACTAGAACACAAAAACAGCCCCAAAGCAGCATCTCTCTGCTGCAGACTTCCTTTGCATTAGCCACAGACATAAAAAGGAAAAAGGGATGTTTAAATCTTTTGTACAATTCTTCTTGTCAACAACATTGCCTATTGAAAATCTCTATTTCTTTAACATTAATTTGAATATTAATTTTATTCTAAATCCATTTGGCATAAAATTGTATTTTCCAGTGCATACTAGTGCCTTTTATTTTGGAGCTCTTCCTCATAATTTCACTTGTATTCAGCTCCTTTTCTAGGTTACACCTCTCAGAATGTATTGTGATTTCCAGTTGGACAAAAGCCTTCATCACAGGAAACACATGAAGACAGAAAGTTTGATCAGTGGCACTGCAGAACAACAAGGGCTTCACAAAGACTAGGATGACAATCCTTGAAATCCTGTCACATTGCAAGCTATTCAGAAGTGAATTTGTATCAGACTGTCTCCAAACAAAACATTGCAAAGCTTCTTCAGTGGAAATTTTTAATTTGTTGTTTGAAAAAAATAAAGGTAAATTTAACTTTTTTTTGTTCCAATTTGAGACAACAAGATCTTCCTTGATATAAAGATTCTCATTTCAATTTCTATTTCTGTTCTGCTGAAAGTGTGTCCAATCATAGCAAAATATTTTCATTTCAGATTTTACTAATGAAGTTATTCTTCAGTGGTTTCCTGAACACGCTACAGACCTATGGAAGAAATTCCAACATTCAAAGAAAATTTAGGCTTAATTTCTCTGGTTAATTTAAGGGCCGAAGTCCTATTTTTTAATTCCAGAAGTTGAAACAGAGGGAGGAAAAACTAGCTGTCAAAGATAGTTCTAAATATTTTGAAAGGCTTCCATCTTTTCAATTCTGGACTATTCCAGAGGCCTACAAAGCCTTCAGAAGAAAAGATGACATCCAAAATGACTTGTCATCAGAAAAGTCTGACATAGCAAACTACATTTTCACTACTGTGAAAATTACAATTCCATGCTTTTGAGAATAAGCAAGAGATGCTACAGTGATATACCCAGCACATTTTCAACTCACTACCTTATAGGAATTATGAAAAACTATTGCCTAAAAACATAAAAGTAAAAAAGTTTTTTTAGAAATAGGCCAGACCCAAAGGCTTGGAAGCCTAAGCACCCAACTCCAGTCTCATTGTGGCTGAAGTACAAAGGAGAAGCAACCCCTTCCAGTATGCAAATGTGAATTCATAACCTAAGCCTTCTTTGGAGCCACTTGACTTTAATTTCACAAAATGGTGAAATTCATATCGTATATAGCGGGAGAACCTACACTGCCAAGTGTGTGCTTTTCAATGCTCATTTTTGTCCAGTGCCAGTCTGGGAAAGTCTTCCCCAGCTGTGTCAGACTGCTGCTAGACTATTGCCTTTGCCCTTCTTGGCAACTAAGGAAGGTGTGGTGAAACAGGGGTATGAGGCTGATTCTTAGGTAGAGTTTCTCATTTCCAATTTGTGATTTCTCTCTCACCTCTTATTTAGTTATTATGCAAATGTTGGTTGACTCTTAAGGGGAAACAGCCTTATATACTCTCATAGTTGACTAGCTCCTGCAGGATTAACATATTACTTCAAATACAATGGCTACAGAATGTAAGGCAGCATCAGGCAAAAAAAGGAAAGGGTTTCCAGCTCTCAGAAGCTTTTATCACAGCAAAGTCACAGACCTGTAATGATGTTCCTGATTGGTTTTACAAGCGCAGTGAAGGCAGAAACTTCAGGCTGTCTGTGTTCCCACATAGGCTGCCAAATAACTAGGCCACTAGCCAACCGAAATGTCAGATCAGACTCCTAGAAAGACAGAGGATGTATCACACAAGGTCACACAAAATAATTCTGTTTCCAGTCTAAAAGGATTGTTATTTCCCTGATCTTACAAGAATTGAGTGATACCTTGTGCAGTTCTGTGGTGAGTATATGCTAACTTAAGGGTCATTGACACTACTAAGCAGACATTAATATATTCTAAGTATAGCTATTAAAAATAAAACAGAAACCTCAAAACAAAAATATATTAGAGGCTTTTTCAAAATTAAATTTCTATAGTAGTTAATGAACATCTTCCCAGAACATTAAGCTGTAAAAGGCAATTCCTGTATCACGAAACATCCTTTCTCACTGTATATAACCACTTCATATTTAGCATTCAGTCTCAACCTTAGAATTTACACTGCAAGACTTGAACTTCTTTCCCCAAAAGAGTAAGAATAATAAATGCTGAAACACTAGGGTTACATTAGGGTTAGAAATTGAGGAATCACAAAATGTCACACATTCCTACGAAACACACATTCCTATGAAACAGCATTACATAATATTATTATTAGCACTGTAAATACTTGAGCAATGTCAATACAGAGAGATTGGTACTACTCACACTCGTGCCATCATTGTTTTACATATGCAAGTAGCTGAAATAGTGTAAATTAGCACATAAGTAAGAAGGTGCAGGTATGCAGTTGCTTGACCTAAGGTCAGATCTACATTAGGAGACACTGGCAGTGGTACAGTCCAGCTATCCCTATGAGGCAAACAGACACAGTAATAGCAGTTTTAGCAGCATAATTATAGCTGCACTGCTGTGTTCTGTTGACAGCTCCACATGCTTCATTGGTTGAAATCAAGGATCTAGAGAGAACTAAAAAAATGGCAAGAGCTGACTGCTAGTAGTTCTCCAGCCTTTCTATTGCCTACTCTTTGTTAATGCCATCATAATGACCTCACAAGTCTTGTTATAAACTGAGCTTGTTTTTAATTATTATTTTTACTGAAGAGCACCTTGCAAGGCTTTTGGAAGTGGCACTAGTAATGTGTTTCATTTTTACTTTGCACTGCTAGCTTTTGGTGACAAACCAACATTCATATCTGCAGTTGTTACAGGGTGACATGCATACCCCTCACCACAGTTGTTGTTACAGGGTGACATGCATACCCCTCACCCTCCAAAAGCCTAATTTAAAAACACATTGCTAAAGACATAAAACCTCTCAGAAATGAGTAATTTCATCATTTAGATCTGCCTGAGAAAAGATATATCACCTTCCTTGAGCACATGCATTACTTTGGTTATGTGATCAGATGGTCTTCTTCTGAGATCTCTACTACCTCTATGCAACACAGAGGGGACATTGCTGACTTAATGAACCAATTATATGCCTCCTTTGCCTTACCTTTTTGTTATGATGATAGAAACATACATGTTTTCATGGGCTTTTCAATGTATCTCCAAGACCTCAGAGATTTTTAAGGTAAACCTGAGATAGTGTTATTAACCCCACTTGTAAATGGGAAACTACATCCCAGAAAGGTTAATATATAAAAATTGGAGACCTAATCTCTAACAGCCATGGTCTACCTCAGTTTCATTTTATTTATTCAAAGGGCAGCCCACATTTGTATTTGCAGCACTGTGAAGAATTCAGCATTTTTTCTTGTCATGTCCCAGTAGCTTACAGAAAAAAATATGGAACTACTAAACAAATATGAAAAATTGGGGCAAAATAAATTGAGCACTCCTGTACAGGAACTCAGTAGTAGGAGCAGGGAAAGCACGTAGCTCTCCAGACCCGTTTCCACCTTCCTTAACCAAAATCTTATAATTGTCTCCTGTACTTTCTTAGTCTTTTCAACTGTTGCATATACAAGGCTGGATTAGAACAAGTAACACCTTTCATCACTTCATGACTTTATAGACCTTTTCCAAGCTGCTACTCTCCAGAGCCAGTGGAATTTATGGAAACATAAAGGCTGAACAGCAGCCCTCCAGAGAGACTAAAGACAAGAGGCAGGAGTCAGGCAGCATGCAGAAAATGTCTCCTCATCACACCATTCTGCAAAGCTGATGCACTCAGCATGAAATCAACAGAGGGACCCTGGCAGACAGGACGCCCGTTCAACTTCAGAGCAAAGCAATGCTCTGTTGCCTTTGCCACTGCCATGTTTATACCACTATCACACATTCCTGGTAATTAACTTCAATATTATTATTAATGACAACAAATCCCAGTGTCAACCCCATGGTGAAAGCCCTGAAAACTAGAAAGGCCCTTCTAAGCAATGGCTGAGAATCTCTGGAGCAAGTTACAGCTTGCAATCCTTTCTGCAGGTTTCAAGGCCCAAAGACTTCACAAGGGACACAGATCTTTGACATTTCCAGGGCTGAAAATTACTCCAGATTTATTTCCCTTTGCACCTGCCTGATGCTGTGGTGATTACTCATGTACTGCAAGTATTTCCTCCTAATGGCAGTGGTATTCCATTAGCTTGTTAAAACATTTCCAGTGGTCACTTGGTGTGCACTGTAGGCTTAATTAATTAACAATCACAAAGGAAGAATTATTCTTTTCCTGCTCAGAGACATCTCCACACAACTACCCCACCAGTGTTCCACTTACTTTAATCCTGTGGACAAGGGGAGCAAAAAGGAACACAAAGAGCTCCACTGTGGCCATGGAGTTCTGGAAGAACTTCCTTCTGTTATTTTCCTCTTCATCATTCATGGTGCTGGGCCGGGGATGTCCTGGTGACCCCTGGTTTTCAGCCTGGTGGATAAAGCCACTACTGCTCCCTCCCCAACTAGAACCTCTGTCTCCTCCAAATCGGTCATTGCTGCAGTCCTGCGGGGCCTCCAGCAGCATCCAGTGAAGGGTGTGAAGGAGCTTTGTTTCAGCTACTCCAAGCTTATCCTGATGTCCTGGATAAAAAAAATGCATCACAGTATCTCACAGGGTTGCCAATAACAGTATTGTTGAGACTTTCAGAGCTGCCAAGGAAATTGGCCACCCAGTGTCCTGACAAGCATTACCGTTACAAGTATCAGCATTCTGTTTCATTATGTTTAAAACTTCCTAATTCAGAGAGAACAGACCAAGAAAGGCAATCCACAGAATGAACTAACTGGGATTACAGGATTTAGAGTAAGTGGGCAACCTGAGCAATAATTTTGACCAATAACTTCAGCAATGGACAAGCTCACCCTCAGGAGCACTAACCTAGCTTGTTCCGGTTGGAGAGCAACGTTGCGGTGCAGTGCAGCACATGCGGGAGCGCAGCTTGGACAAGTTCCCAGCGAGAAATGCTCTGGATGGCTTCAGAAAGAGCTGGAGAAAGGCCATGCAGCTTGTTCTCTACTAATACTCTTTCAAAAGACTAAAAGGAAGAACAAAGAAAAAAAACCCTCACAAAATACTGTATATCTATTTCTGCACATATTTTCTAATACATACAACATTATATTTAAAAAATGTGTAGTCTAAGTTTTCATGAGATAACTAAAGCACACCTTTTTCCTGTAAGAGACTGACTGCAGCGAAAGCTCACCAGACATATGGACATACTTGGCTAACAAATGAATGGGCCATGGAATGTATTTTCTCTAATAAGAAAGAATTAAAGCAAGTATTATGTGTATATTAGCAAGTACCAACATCAAGGCAGACTTAACAGTTGTGCTGGGTATTAATCTGGCATGCCAGTAATCCTGCTGGAAGCCACAGGAGCTAATGAAGCCTGTGCTTGTGTAGCTGAGAGCTGGACATTCTCACACACACATGCTCTTTCAGTTTAGTGTAACATAAAGGGCAACTCATTATAGGTATACAGGCCTTAGGAAATGTTTTCACACTCTGCCACAGAAATTAATCGGTGTACAAAATTTTTTGTTGAGCCATGATGTAATGGTTTTGTGGGCACTTAAAAGACCTGATTGCTGCAGCAAGTTCATTATTTCCACCTCAAGCAACACAAAATAAGACTATCTGCCTTTGAAATCCCTAAGGACATTCCTTATTGCTCATTACTCCAAGCATTTCAATAAGTTCTTCCTCTGATCAGGTACAAAAATCTCATTATAGGTCACAAAACCAGTTATTTTCCTTCACTGAAGTTCCTAAAGCAAAGAAATACATTACTGACAATGCACGTCCTTGCCATACACCAGCTTAGCCTCCTGGCTACCTATTTGTTCACAAGCTGTTTCAGTGATTTTATCAGGCTCTGGGCAAACAAGTAACTGTTGGCATGCGTGACCTAAGGAATGCTTCAAATGCCCTCACTCCAGATTCTTAAAGCTTATCCTTTAACACTAGTCAGACTGATTTTTCATGTAAAACTGGGGGGACTAATAAGAATAGACTTAATCACAAAGAAGAAAAGCAAGAAGGGCAGCAGTCATAACGTAGCTCTCCTCAATGTCCGACTCCCAGGCATGGCAGGCTAAGCAGTGGTAACGTGCGCTCTTCTGTGCACGTTTGTTCTCTCAGGCCATGTCTATATCCACCAGTGTGGGCACACATGAGCCCCTCCACTGAGAGGCAGGATGCCTCTCCATGCTGCAGAATGCAGCACCACCATGGTTTTACAGCATCCCACTAACAGCTCTGCTCTGGCCAGCAGGAGGCAGAGAAACACATTTATTCGCACTTAAAACCTAAATCAGTAACTCCCCAAAAGCACCAGGCATAGACAAAGAGAAGGGGAGATGGACGGTATGATTTATAGACAGGTATTCACAGGGTATTCAGAACCAAGTGTGCTTATAGAGGACTAAGACTGTAGCAACATAAATTAAACCTAAGGAAATACCAACAATAAATATCAGAACTGCCAACAAACCTAAGTGTGTAGAAAGTCACACTGCTCACCTACTAAAAACCCCACGTTCTAGTCAGAAAACTCAATATGTTTTCTGTATGGATCAATGGCTGAAATTGGAAGGCATTAGTTGTAATATGTGGACAAAAATGCTGGCTTCCTGGGGATTAGTAAAAAATAAGGACTCAGTGAAACCTTCATTCAGCCAAGTCAAGCCTTAACACAAGCCAAAATGAAGCTCAGCATAGAGGTAAGTAGTTGCTACCAGATTAGTGAGCTGACTTAGCTCATTGAAAAGCCTGCCAAGCACCAGTGCTGACCTAGGTTTACTGAAATAAATTGTCTTCTCACCTCCAGGAGAAAAGTCAAACCATAAGCTCACAGTTCAGTACAGTGACAAAGCTATTCACTGGGGAGGTAAGGGGAGGGAAAAAAATGGAAAAAAAATAGTCACTGTGAGCGGCAAAACTTGTATGAAGTGTCATGGAAGACACTGTTGCTCTCTGGGTTTCCATTCAAGGTCTCATTCAGGGGTAAGTCAACAGCATCAGGTAGTCCCCCAACAACTGCTTTCAGTAAGCTCTGGCCCACATTCTGCATACTTGAGAAACTCAAGAGGACGCCAAGGAGTCTCCATCTATTATTTAAATTAGGCTTATACTCACCTCAACATACTTTCTTACACTGTTAGCCACCAGATTCCTCTGTTCTTTCCTGGCCTCAGCAGAAAGCTAAATATATTTGTGTCCCACAGTGAAAGATTAGCCTCCAGAACAACATATCTCAATCGTCTGAGACAGAAAAATGCTAACACAAAGGCTACTATGGAAACCACTGTGTGTTATGGGCACTGGCTGGTACTCGATGCCATGCGTGTACTGTCAGCACTAGCTGGCATCAATCCCCGCACTGGTAACTGCCACCAGCAGCCCAACAGGAACATGCAGTTCTTTGGATGAGTGTTGCCATGGGAATTGTCCATAAAGGTCCAGCTGACTGCAGCTTCTGCCTACACCAGACATTCAAGATGCAAGGCCCTGCTCCTTCAGACCCTCCCCTTTGGTCTGCTATAGCTCTACTCCAACTTTTATGACCTGCTACAGAGAATATTAAGATGAAAGACCAAATTTTCACCCCACATGAACTAAACAACTGCTGCTACAGTTGAGAGGAGTTACATGCTTCAATGAGAAGGCTTAATGAGAACGTCTGATGTTCCCTGCAAGTCAGTCAGGAAAGAGATAAAGTCATGCTATGGGTACATCTGGAGCTGCAGCCTCAGGGCTGCTGCTTGGCTAAGAAAACTGTTATGTACTTATAAAAGGTTTGTTCATGCCTGCAACTCCCCAGGTGCCTAAGGAAGATAAAGAACATCTGCCAAGGTGGTAGTAAGGAAAGTCATTGTTATGCCCTGGCTGGAGAAAGGACAGCCCCTCTCAGCAGTGCTCTGGGTGTGTGCTCATCTCCCTCAGGGCCACTTACACATGCATTTTTCCTTTTAGCCTGGTGATGCCATCCGTTTTCACAGGGAGTGGTGGTCAGTCCTGTCCAGCTGCTTTCCCACTGCTCTTTTTACCTTCTTTTCCACCAAAAACCACAGGACCAGGGTCAGCCTGTGTGTCACTTTGCTGCTGGAATAAAAACAGGTATGTGCCTCATGAAGCCTAGGCAAGCACTACAGATTCTGGCTGGGCCATGGTTTCCTACACAGCTTTGCTAGAATCACATGAACCTTCCCTGCTCTGAGGCCAAGGAAGCTGTACCTGCAGCAAACTAAGTAAGGCATCAAGGGGTTTAGCCAGGCCCTTAGCTCCCAGTAAAGAGCCAGAACTTCAGGAAGCTCAGCACCCCACTGTTTGCATCCTCTCAGGAGTGCCAGATAATTTGCAGGTCTCCTCCAGAGAAGTAGGCCTAGAGGATCTCACTTTAGGGAAAAAAATAAAGGCAGTAAGCTAGGAAAGCAGGGCTTCCTGAACCAGACTTTTGAGGGAAACATCCCTGTTCTTCCAAAGCTCACGCTGCATCATGATGGAAAGCAGAGACAACTGCTGAAGTCACTTCAGACTGACTAGAAAGAACTTGAAAAGCAGGCAAACAGTATTGTCAGCCTGGGAAAATCCCTCTGAGTAGGGAAGAGTACCTAGAGAAACCTAAAACATTAATCTCAGAGTTCAATAGCATCCCAGTGTTACTAAACACAGTAGTAGTGCAAACATTGACAAGCAATGAATCACAGATGCCAAGTACTTAATTTACAGACAATCCCTGTGTTCAAAAACCATGTCCATTTTCTGCAACCATGTCCATTGACTAGGTAAAATAAAGGTGGCACCTCTTTAAACTTTGTTCCATATCTATCCTTCAATCATTCATTACAACAAAAAACATTTTCAAAAAACATTGGAAAAACAGGTAAAAAAAACCAAAACCAAAACCAAAATAGAAAAGAGGTAAACTGAATTTGCAGGATCCTCCAGAAAATGTCTGGCTTCTTCCATGCTCAATGCTATCTAGGGTAAAACACTTTATAACATATCCTTGGTTCCTTTACCCTCACCCAAAAAAATCCATCAGCTTTCTATAGCACTCACACACATTGCTGTGAGGTCATTTACAGCTTTGACTCATGCACTTCAGGAATGACATTGTGTTAGGGCAGAACAACATCAGAACAGAGGGAAGGAAGAATATTAAATCCTATTGAGGCACAAGAGCATTTAGACAGTGTAAGACAATGCAGGTGGAAGGGGGGGGGGCATATTTATCTTCAGACTAAAGGAAGTTATTCATAGACCAATTGAAGTCAATGTGATTGTTCAGGTAAAGTAAACAAGGCTATGAAAGGGCCAGGTTTTTCTTCAAATATTAAATAAAAAGCAAAGCTCAAAGAAGCAATGCAATCTGCTCTTGCAGACCAGATGCTTGGCTCACGGAATCTAGGCCTCCAGCATCTGCTTTCTCAATGCACAATATGCAGCAAATTCTATGCAGCAAGTTTAGAGCCAAGAATAATAATAGCATACAGCACAATGTTGTGTCATATACATTGTTAGACAGTTAACAACCTATAGACATGTCTAGAACAATTCTGGACAGAACATTTTAAACGGACAGATCATATAGCAGGTGCACAGTATTTTTAGGCTTACCAGTCAATCCAGTGGTGTTAGATAGTCAGCATGATGTTTCAAATGACAAGCCAACTACCTGCCAAGTTCCAGAGATCCTGTCTCACCCCTATGTGGAGCACACTGCTAGCCCATTGGATAATACAGGTGTTGTGGGCAGACAGGCCTGTGCATTGTCAGGGATACAGCAAAAGAAGGTGGAAGGTGCAGCTGCTCAGGCTGTATCCCATCAGTTGCTCAAATCTAAGCCCTGCCTTTGAGAGCCTTCTACCATAATTTACTGATGGTTAATTGGAAAAGAATCAAGCTTTCCTTCATCCAGGGGGTGGAAATGGATTAGATCTTCATTAAATGAGTTTTTCCAGGGCTCCCCTTCCCTTAGCTGAAGCATGTGATTTATGTTGCTGGTTTTTTTTAGTTTGTGGGGGTTTTTTTGTTAGTTTTTTTTTTCTTGTGTTTTTTTTGTTGTTTGTTTGTTTTGTTGGTTTTGTGGGGGGGTTTGTTGCCAATAGAACAGCACAAAGCACAAGGAAGTCACGGACAGAAAGGTACACCATGGATAATGCACAGAGAAGGAAGCTCTGTCCCTCTACCCAATAGTAACAGATACCAGCTCACAGGTGAGGCCACAGCCTCAGATTATAAGTGCTTCAGGGCATGAGTCCTGCACACTGCTGAGACTCCTGGTAAAGGACAGAAGGCAACAAACTCCATCTTCTAGCCTCCAGACACGCAGGAACTGTCAATGGTATAAACCAGTGAAGACACTTTTTGCTCCATGATCCAGAACTGAATTACATTTTACTCATGAACACACTAAGCCACCAGTCTTGTATCAGTACTTAGTATCTAACAATAATCCTGAAAAATTTATGGATTTCTTAGAAGAAAATTAGTCAGCAGCAGCTAAGGCTTCATATCATGTGAGAAGGAAGCCAGAAAATTGCTGCAGAGAGACCTAAGTAGTTTAAGCTATTAAGATAGACATCCAGACCAAGATTTTCCAGTCTGTCAAGTTTGGCTGCAACTGCTTAATGGACTTTAAGCCATCCAAAGATCAGCAACAGTTCAAGGAATTCTGAAATTCCCTAGACACCCATCTTTCTTGAACTTCCTGTGTGCCTTTCCTTTTTCCTCCCTTTAGACAACAGATTGAGTTTTCATTCAAAATACAGTTAGAAATAAGAGTTATTAGTATCCACATAATAACCTTTACCTATGGCACTAACATATGCTCCTTCTATTTTCCAGTAGAAGATGTATTTTCATGTTTTCATACAATAGTAAAAGTATTGTTTAGAGTCTTTTAGTAATGTTTAGGTTTTCAGTATTTTAGGTCTGAAAAAACTCCACTAAATTCAAATTGAAATTACATTTATCTCATCTGAAAGAACCTACACACACGATAAAGTGCAAGTTTAGACCCAGATTGGCATAGCTCAGTCTGCCCATACCACTATTTACTTCATTTAATTACTAATTACATAAATCACTAATAACCAAATCAATCTCTTTTTGTTGTGTCTAGAGATGCACATGATAACCAAATTCTCTAGATGAGAAAAGGTTTCAAAACCTTCATGTGATAAAAGTACAAAATTAAGCTGAATGGACTAAATCCACTTCTGGCTTAATCTGAGAAGCTTGCTGATCAGCCACCATGGTCAGATCAAGTTGCAGGAAATGTTATTTACTAATATGAGTTGAAAAAGATCAATATGTACATACCACACAGGAAGCTTCATATTGTTTCCCCAATTTAGGTCTCAAAAATGCACTGAAAAAGGGAGAAAAATTGTTAGAGATGCAGTACTTCAAATGTGGATTTTGCTTATTCATGTCTAGGATTTTTCTCATGTCAGAAGGTTGGCAAAATGCTGAGAAATCTAATATAAAGGAAGACATAAGGCCAAAATAATGTTCAGATACCTGTTGATGACATCTGACAAAATGCTTTTACCTTTTCTAGAGAACTAAAGTACCCACACTATGTCAAGAGGCAGGTAATCCACCCTCAAGGAGAGTCCTATTCCACACGGATAAGATTTTCCATCAGACAGTTTTCAGCCATTTTACCTCAGTGAAAGATTTTTCAGTATAGTCTCTTGAAAATGTGTTAAATATGACTGAACTTCGCCTTGCCTCTCTTTGAAGCCAGAGATCCATTTGCCAGTTTTCGATTAAGTATTTTCCTTCACAACTGCTGATGTGGAAGGCTTGTGATGAAATGCAGGCCTGTACCTGCTAGGTAGAGAACACCCATCCTCTACAGTAATGTCCCTTCAGAATGGGATCAATGTTAAACATTTAACAAATTTAATCAGGTCACCTCATTACAGCTTTGGGTTTGGTTTTTTGTTTGGTGTTTTTGTTTTGGTTTGGGTTGTTGTTTTGGTTTGGTCTGGGTTTTTCTGGAGGACACAGAAGCTGGCAAGGAATTTGTGACTGAGGCCTTAAATTAGAGCCACAACCTTCAAACCTCCCTTCCCTCCCCCCCCAACGCCCACAATGTTTTCAGTTTAGACTTCTCTTAAGACAGGATTCACAAGAAATATAGAGCCCCAGACATACATGCAGCCTGCCTCTCACATGCAATTATTTCACCAGTCTAATGAAATAAGGTGAGACTTTGACATATTTGATTGTATGGTGACCTCTCAAGGCATAGATTACACTTCAAGAACAGCTGCAAACACAGATACAAGCAAAAGCTGCAAGTCTGGTGCAGCACTCAGGGTTGCTGCTTCTGGCACCAGAGCTCCAGGAGTCCTCCTAAAAGTGGGGTGGAAGTGGGGGTGGGGAGAACAGACGACATGAAGGAGGGAGAGGTGCGTAGACAGACAGCACATGGACATTTTAAAGTCTAAACAAGAAGCTGCCTGAGACTGTCACTAGGTTAATCTGCTTCCAGTCCTCCCCACATCCCTGATACACACAGATTGCTCTATACTGAGTGCAAAGAGAGCAGCTTGTTTCACTCCCTCATGTTGCAGCTGCAGCAACCACTTCCTCCCCATCACTGGGCAGCAGCTGGCCTGCCTCCCGGTCCCCCATCCCCACTTCCACTGCCCTGTTGCAGCTGTATCCCAAGTATCCAAGGCTTGCAGCTCTCACCTGGTTTGCCTCCATAGGAAGGTCTGGATGGGCAGAGGGATGCCACGGCCGCTCTCCTGCTCCTGGCCTTCTGAGCTTTTCCTTTTCACCATGATGCTGGTGACAGCTGCCGCTGTGAGCCAGTCTTAGCGGACGTACCAGCCGGGATCTCCCATGGCTGCCTCTTTGCTCTCTGTAACTCTTTACTCTCTCCCCTTCATCCTCCGCAGCCCACCCCCTTCCTCCCCCCTCACACCTCCCGTCAGCTTTGCTGGTGCAAAATGGCTGCAGAAGGCAGGGAGGAAATTAGGGGAGCGAAGATGTCTGCGTCCCTCTGCTTCCTCCCTGCCTTCAGCACCACCCTCTGTGGACAGCTCCCCGCACCGCGCCGCGCCTGCAGGCGGTGACAGGGCGGGCGGGTGGCGCGGGGCGGGGGCGGGACCGGCCCAAAACTTCCAGCGCCCGAGAAGCGCGGGGCCGCTCCGGAGGAATATGAGCATCAGGAGCAACAGGGCTGCTGCTGCCTCGCTCTCCCTCCCTCGAGCGCAGCGCGCACCGCAGCAAAGTTAGGAAATCAGGCAACCCGCAGCGAGGGTTTACGCAGAGCAGCCGAGGGCCGTCTCCGTCCCTCGCTCGCCACCCGCCCGCAGCGGGGACAAGTTCGGGTAGGTGCCCCTGCAATCCGGGAGGAGCCTGGCCGAGCTCCCCCACAACCGCAGTGGAGCAGAAAGGAAAGAAGGCTTTTCGAGGAGATGATTTACAGCTCATAAAGCAAGTTACCTTCCTTGGATCTACAGAGGCAGGAGCACTCGAAGGGTCTGACCAGCAGGGAGTAAGGAGGTTAAACAGGAGATACTCGTATACAAGCAATAAGCCCTCTCTGAAAGTGAAGGTTAGTGATAGGAGCAGGTAAGTTTTGGGGTAGTTATTCCATGGGCTTTTCTTACACAGGAGGGGTTCAGACAAACAAAAGTGGAGAGGAGGGTAAGAGTCAAAGGAGATGTACTTGTGTTTCCAACTAGACACTAGAGCGTTTTGACTAACACAAAGATGTGTTTGAGCCAGGTTTGCTGGAAATACTTCTCAGTTGCTGTTAGATTAGCTCTCCTTACATACCTAAGGACATCAGAAGACAGTACACTACTACAAGTAATTAATAGATTAAAATTAAAGACCAATGCAAGTCAACCCTTAGTTAATTTTTCAGACAAAAAAGATAATAAAAAATTAATATTCCATTACTTATATTAAAAGATTGCAAGTTTAAAGAGTGATGCTGCAACAAGCCAACTCCTCATTTCTCCCTGTCTTTCAATTTTTCTACTTAATATTAGGCACTTCAAGATTCACCAAGGTCATTCCTTCCTGGAACAGGAGATGAACTCATTAACAGCACCTATTTCTTTCCCTATGGGTCCTTTGAGAACCAGAGCTGCTGAAAATCCAGTGCCACTACTCTGATAATCTGCATTTACTCCCACTTGGTATGAAGTTCTTTCTTGTGCCCAACCCAATACTTCCTTGCAGTGACTTAGGCTGCTCTTGCACTTCTCACTCAGGGAGAACATTACCCCATGTGGTCTACATTTTGCATAAAACCTCCTCTTGCACAAAAGGAGTATTAAAGCTGTTAATTAAAGGTTAATCTGTTAAATAAAATCTAAACAGTATATCTACGACCAAAAAGTTTTAAATAATTGAAATCACTAACTTACCTGAGTGCCAAAATTGGTTTTGTCTGGTTTGGGTTTTTGCTAGCTTAACTTTTGCTGCTGGTGCACAGAACTACGGCCTTTTTATCCTCAGGATTAGCCTGTTCAGACAGGAAAGTTTTTAATTACTATTTACCTCCCTTCAATTAAGTGGGGTCACACAGGAAAAAAAAATAATCTTGATTTCTAAAATCTGATGAGAACTAACTACAGAGAGAAGGTGGTTAAAGTAAATTACAAGGTATGTATTAAATAAATTTCCCTACTTCATATCCCTTCTTCTAGGACTTTTAATACAAGGTTTTCTTGTTTGGAAAGAAAATTAATGTTTTAATTCCTGCCAGCATGCCCCTTGACAGCAAAAAAAAACCACAATAGGAGTAATAAACTTATTTTAAAATAACTGTTTTTTTATATTTCTGTAAGGAGTTATGAAAGTTTTCAATAAGGTATAACCTGATTTAGAAACAAACCTGGTCTAGTTTTATCTGGTGTTTTAGTAGTTATCAAGCTGGAGAATCACTACTGTTCCAAGAAAAGTATGAGGACTAAACAAAGTTTTGATGCTATTCATAATTACAGGGAAAAAAAATTACTTAACTGATCTGTTAAGACCTCAGAAAGTTCACTGCCTTCCTCTCGGACATTCACAATATGAATAGTAGAACTCATAGTTTAACCACAGTTAAGAGGCTTGTAAACCTGCAGCCAGGGATGAGGGATGGCTTATGTGGAGGTCATTTTAAGTGCCATATAGTCTCCAACTCAAAATTAGCACCATCAGGCATTTTAGTTAGTTATAATATTGACCCGGTTTGAGTTTGAGACACTTGCAGTACTACTCTCAGTAACTGGTAGGCACAGTTCAGATTTGGTTTTTTTTGTTTTTGGTGCCTTTGGGTTAGGGTTTTTTTGTTTTATTTTTGTTTTGCTTTGTTTTGGTGTTTTTTTTCTACATGGGTATCTCTCCTTATTTCTGCATTCAAGAGCAGTAATTTCTAATAGCTTCCAGTTTGCTGCTCTAAGCTTAAGCCTATTATTCCCATGCTCTGCTACACAACAGGAAACACAAGAGCAGAAAAGTGCACTGCAGCTGGCTTGCAGACTGTGGCCAAAATCTCCAGTGAATTCTCCTGACTGAGGGGGACACCAGAGGTACTCAGTGTGGCCAGTCCAGGGCAGCTGCTTGGGGTAAGCAGATGAACACAGGTTAGGGTTTTTTTGTTTTATTTTTGTTTTGCTTTGTTTTGGTGTTTTTTTTCTACATGGGTATCTCTCCTTATTTCTGCATTCAAGAGCAGTAATTTCTAATAGCTTCCAGTTTGCTGCTCTAAGCTTAAGCCTATTATTCCCATGCTCTGCTACACAACAGGAAACACAAGAGCAGAAAAGTGCACTGCAGCTGGCTTGCAGACTGTGGCCAAAATCTCCAGTGAATTCTCCTGACTGAGGGGGACACCAGAGGTACTCAGTGTGGCCAGTCCAGGGCAGCTGCTTGGGGTAAGCAGATGAACACAAAACTCCACAAAAAAACGCCAAGTTTAGTAGGAAAACAATGGCACTTGTTGGTTTCAAACCTACCCAGGTAAACATTGTTGCTGCCCCTGAACAGAGGCAGTCCTAGAGAACAGTTTGGAAGCTCACTAGCAGCACTTCACTGAGCCTCCAAAGGAGAATTCAAATGTCCTCTCTTCAATCAGAAGGGGAGAAGGAGTGGAGCACACATGAGGCAATTGCATATCCTCCATATCCATCAGCATTTTCACTAAAAAAGCAGGAGGACAATATACTAACATCTCTACATGGCTTTCTGTTACATCCTTGAAGGACTCTTCAGGAGAAACACACAACTTTGAAGTACAGCATTATTTTCCTTACTCCTTTGTGCATAGCTAGATCTTCCCCTATCACACAGCCATTAGCAAGCGGAGATCAGGTAGCCCAAAAGTACCGAGAGGAAACTGCATAACTACTACTTTGTAGTAACAGAAAACGTAATTGCAAATTGCAGTTCTAGTCAAATTTGCCATTTGAGTCCAGAATATTTCTCTCCAACAACACACATCCATAACAGACAAGTAAATCCCTCTGTTTGTGCAGAGATTTGAAACTACAAAACTTCTGATGCAAACCAAATCAGAGAACAAAGAAAATATTATTAACAGCTGGTACTCTCATAAGAACCTGCAGTCACGAAGGTGCAGATTCTCCAATCCAGCCAGGCTGTGAGCAGCACTGCACGCAGAAGGTGGTTTATGTTAAACATTGGCTAGAAACCAACTTCCTTCTTGCCTTGTTTTGGAGACACCACACACCCCACCACCACAAACAGCACACCGAGCCAAAGTGATCTTTACCTCTGTAACTGAAGCAACTTGCAACTTGGAAATTGAATGTGTAAGAGAAGGAATTTTAGAGCCTGGAAGATTTTACTTATCTCTATATTGAACTTCTGCTTGCAGCAGAGGCTTTCAGATTTGCAATCAGCATTCAACTGTACCTGAATACTAACACTGCAGCGGGTGCCGCAGAGAAAATCCTTCAAATCAGTCCTCTGCATTCCCTAACAGTGGGGATAGAGGAAGTAAACTCTTCAAGGCAGTCATTCTAGTGGAACAGCAAACAGTCCCAAAAATCCACCTGTGCTCTGTTCACTAAGTTACACTGGCATCTTGGAATGGCACAGAAACACAGGTCTATCTACCTGCAAACAAGATCAAGACTAGTGCAAGAAGTCACTGCCTTCAAGAGAAAGGCATGGGCAGGTGTGGAGTTGGCATCATTAGCTCTGCCGTGCTCCAGCAATTCACAGTCCACCCAAATACCTGAGCACAAAAGATGCCCATTACACTATTTTTCCATTTCTTCTCTTACTTCAGGCAGCATCAGTCTGACATGCCTCCCAAATCACATTATTCTGCTTTATATATCTCACAGTTGTGTTTACACAGCCACCACAGGAGCATTTAGTCTGGATCCAGAAACAGTCAAAGCTGGCAGCATGCCACAGGGTGGGAACACTCAGGAGAACCTGAGCATGAAGCCCTCTTTTCACACGGGAGTGTCTGGAGCAAGGAACCACTCTAAACCTCACTCCCTTGCACTTGTTTTCATGCTGATGCTCTCCAAGTCCCCAGCCTCAGTCCTTGCCACACACACCTCTAAGTATTCATCCCTTTAATTTATCTGCTATTCTCTTTGTGCAGAAAGAACCAGAATCCAAAGTCTTAGGAGTATTTTGAGCCATTCTGCTGTACAGTCACCTTTCCAAGAGCAAAGCTGTAAAAACAGCTCTTAACTGTTCACCCTACAGCAGAGAAGAAAGTAAATTGTTTGGCATACTCCTGTAAGCTTACTCTACCATCAGCTGCTAGACTTTTGTCCTTGGCTGAACAGACCCA